GAGCTCCGCTGTGGAACCGAGGGATTTCAGCGGGTGGGGTCCGAGCGGAATGGCACTGGTCGCGATTAGCTGCCGTTAGAACAAATTTCAGAAGGCAATCTCAGCGCGTGCTATTAATTAGCTGCGGGAAACAGCGTGTGCAGTCCGCACGGAGGGTTTGTGCACGAGAAGTGATAACTGGGCTGTGCTGCACACAAAGGCGTACGCCACCGCTTTCATTTCTTACGCTGGGAGCAGAACACCAGTGAGGGACTGTGGTCTGTCAGGGTATGAAACAGCAGCTTTTTTACTACTTCTTTTTTTTTTTTTTAAGCTGAAAACCAAGATGTGTTAAAGTCCCAGGCAGCCTGAAAGCTTGGGAATCGCGTTGGAACAGTGTTCACATTTCAAGCTACTGTTTCTATGGAAAATCTCTTCAAAAATAATCGCTCAAATGGTGCCCGTGTCCGTTGCAGACATGGGTTCAGTCCTGTGCAGCCCGCTGTAGGTGACCCTGCTTCGGCAGGGGGGTTGGACTAGATGACCCACAGAGGTCCCTTCCAACCCCTACCATTCTGTGATTCTGTGATATTGGTTAAATCTCCTGCGTTTCTGCAGAGCAGATAGAGACGTCTGGATTTCATGATTCAAACGTTTTCTCACATGCAGTGGTTGACTATGCAGAGGGATTTACTTATAAAATAAGAGGTAAAGCGCGTGTTAATAACTGCTAGCAACAAGCATTAGGGGTCCGCAAACTTTGAATGTTCCCGTAGGTGAGGCTCTGATGTTCCAGCAGCGAGAACATGGATAGCTGCAGTGTCCATGCTTCTCAGCTCTTCCCACTAACGAGTGGCAAATGAGTAAATGCTGGAGCTGCACAGAGAGACAGTATAACGCTGTGTTCTTCAGCACTATTGCGGTCTACTGTTCAAGCACAGACAAATTTTAGCAGCGTTTAGAAATCATGTTTCATTTACCAGAGAAATGTTAACTTCCATTCCTAGAAATTCATCGTTAATGGGGTGGTCAGGGGGAGCTAGAAGCATGTCTCAGCAGAGGCACGCAAACAGTTTTTTCTCTCGGACCTCACGGTCAGTTGTTGAGGCCATCGCGGCAGTTGATTTCAGAGGGAAGAAACACTTGGGATCTACAGGTACTTCATGTTCCATTACTGGCATTAAGAGTGACTCTGAACTCCTGTTGGTAATACTGAGAGGAGTTTAGAACTGCTTCACATTGAAAAAGACAGACTGGTATATTACTGAAGAAAAAAAAATACACAAGCTGTTCTGGAGTTTGCTGATTCCACCCAGCAGAAATTTAGAACAGCTTTACTTGCCACAAGCAAGATAATTTTCAACTTTCCGCTAGGCAAAGTATTTAATTAGTGATGCAATCTCTTTATTACTGTCTCGTGTACATCCACAGTGTGAAAGTCTGGTTACTTTCTGAACTAGTCCGTACTGTTATCAGCAGCTCCTGTCACTGAGGTTCTTGGCTGTGTCACCACAAACTGATTGTTAACACTCAGCTCATTTTATATCTTCATATTCTCACGATATTTAAGCAAAACATAAGTCAGACAGTTTGTACTCTTGCCTTAAAATTTACATATTGCAAACTGAATTTAAGCACTAAGAATAAAGAGATCCTCCAGTATTTTGGGTACAAGCCAGCAGGGCGCCGGGTCGTGAGCTGGAGTGTGCAGAGGAACAAATTGCAAGGTTGCAATTACAGAAGCATTTTTAAGATGTTAATTTATCTGCCGTTACTTGCGTATTCTGTGACAAATAGCCAGTGTCACAAATAAAAGCCACTATGAAAATTTGTTTTATTTACATCTGTATCGTGTTTGATCTGTATTGCTCTACATGGGGCTCCTCTATTTCTTCTGAAAGTCAGTGGATGGACTTCCATTGACTGCTGCATACAAAGATTTTGTTTAGCAAAACAAGGATCGCTTGACCCTGAGAGACTGAAGAGATATTTCAGACAAATCTCATTCTTGACAAGTCCATCGTCTGAATTTTTGACGCATGATGACCTTTCTGAAAACCTAAGATGCTTTAAGAGGGTGGGAGAAGAAGAAGACATCAGCACTCGTAAAATTCAGAATAAGAGAGTGTGATCTACTGAAGCTGTATTGCTTTTGGATTTAAAAACAACCATCACCACCCAAGAAAAAAACCCAACCCCAGAGAACAGGAGTTCAGGTTTGTAATAAAAGCCACACAGGAACATAGGAACCATCTTAAATAAGGAGAGACCACAGAGGGAGCTGCCCAGGCTGAAATTGCTGGGCACTTGGGGTTACCATTTGTCAAGGTCGGTTTAGACTCAGTCCTGAGAAGTCGCCTGGTGTGCTGGCTCTGTGAAACTCCGGTTCACAGCTTGGCTGGTGGGACGCGCCGGGAGGTCTAGGCGAGGGCCATGTAAGCAGCTGGAAAGGGTTCTTGCTGTTAAGAATAACCCAGAATTGTGATTTTTTTTTTCTTCACGGCTTGTAACTGTGCTTTCGACTTCATAACGAAGACCCTGAAGGAGAGAAGCTATATTAACGACAAGCTGAACAGCCATCTTGAGACAAATGCTCAAAGATAATTCTTGACTAAGTTTGCAATGAGAAAAAAGAGTCGGTCTGTGTTAGTCTCACACTCAGGCGCCCACGGGGAGGGAAGGAGGCATGTCTAGCATCGCACCTCACACCTGAATGCTGCACCAGAGATGCTCGCGTCTCGGGTGATGTAAAGCACGTAGGACTCTATTTCCTGTGCTTTATGTTAGGGTTTTCTCACCATATTTCTGCTTTTTTTGTTGATTTCCCAGTTTTTCTTCTCAGGTCTTTCAGTTCTTCAGCCAGCTTCGTTGGCCTTGTCTCCTGCCTCACAGCCCAGGCGGAGGTTTAGACCCCATCCTGCCTGTGCCCGAGCCAAGCCCAGCGCTGCTGCTTTGCTTCTCCCTCTCACTCTTAGGGCCAGTGGTACAAACAGAGCTCCTGGAGAGGCTGGCTGTAACCATAGTGATAGCAGCAGTCCTGAACAGATCTGTTCAGCTCTGGGAACAGCGAGAAAAGGGCTTTTCGAAGCAGGAGCATCCTCCTGACTTTGTACCAGGTTGAGGGAGCCAGGTAGGTAGAAGTATTCTCCCTCTACAGCATGTGCAGCATAAGTTGTAGAACACCAGTAGATACCTGAAGCATGACACACCAAGGAGTTTCTGGGCTTCTGCTGTTAAATATAACCTCATCACTTGGTCTCGCACAGCTTATGTCCACAGCAATTCGTTCAGCCCCTGTACTCGCCCTCCTTAATGGCAGCTGTTCCAGTAGTTCCTTTGGTTACTGTGATAAAAAGCATCAATGAGAAATTAAAGCAGGCTGTCAATTTTCCAGTGAGAATGGTGGCCCAAGAAGGACATAGCCTGGACATGCTCATACATCCCAAGTAGACTATTCATTAGATTGTGGGGGATCACTTGAATACTTTTCCTGTGTGGGAATCTAAGAGAATAACAATACACAGTGGTAGGGGTACAGACTATGATGAGTGAGTATGCACTCTACATCCCATATCAAAGGCCTTTTTTGTGCTTATGAAGAAATTAAAAATAATTAAAAAGATAATTTAGATAAGGGAGAGATATGAGGGAGAAAATGATACAAAGAAGAGCTAACAGGCTCTTCTACTGGTCCCTATCCCATGTCAAACCAAAGTCACGTTCTGCAGAGTATGAAGTGATGGGCATATTGCAGGCACAGGTGGTAACTGGCACGTGTTGTGCTGCTCTGTGCAGAGCAACCAGCTGTGGTTCCCTCCCCTTATCCAGCATGCTGGTTCTCACGTGGACAACCTCAGAACCTGTATAATCTTAGAGACCTCTGCTGTCTGATGCATA